TTCACCTTAGGTCCGCAAGGATTTACCAGCTGGATCATGATTGAACCTCCATACTCTAGAATTCTACCCATATAAATTCCAGTAAAAATCAGTTTTAATCGTAAATCATAATATCTGGATCGTGATCTAGTAAAATCTCGGAACGTAACAATGAAATAAACCATATAACTGATTTTCACCTATACACCATATGTAGTCTCATTATTAACCCAAGAGAGTGCCTTGGGGCTTAGAGCCTACCCAAATGTCACCTTAGGTCCGTAAGGATTTACCAGCTTGACCAGAGCTGAACCTTCAGTCTACACATATAATGTCCTAATAAAACAATTCAAGTATACCCAGTGAAAATAGAAAACCATAGTTCATAAACCAGTAAATTCCATGATTCCATAAATCAAGAACAATCATATTTTCAGTGAAAACCATAATCAGAAAACACATATCATGTAGCCATGGTTCATAAGTCAGTAAATCAATAATATCAATGAAACATTTTTCAAAACATATAAGCCATTCATGTAGTACGTGGGGAACACACTAGAGGACCCAAGTATTTTTTCAGAGGCACTTGGTAGTTATCAGTAATAGAAAACATGAAACTGATATAATTTAATCGGATTCCAGGAACGAGGTCCTATTAAAAGGGATCAATTACTAATGGATCTAATCAAACATTTAGAGTTGATATTTTAGAATCCTGCTATGATCTAGGTGCATTAGGAAGGTGTTCAAGAACCCATTTGGTTCAATTGGAGTGTTCATGAACCTTTTTTCGAACTTTTTGAGTCTTATATAATGTTGTCTTTATTTCAATTTACGTCTGAATCCAATGATAGTTAAATACATTTAATGGGCCATTCATTCCAATCAAGCATTTACCATCTATCCATGAGTTTCGAAAATCATACAAAATGTAGTAGAGTATTATCTCGATTTTCGTGCTATACCGATCGATCATTTAAACTCCATTCGATCGCCCTCAAACTTGAATTCAACATCCAATAATTCCTTAGATACAAAACAATTGAATTTAATTCAGAATCTGAACTTAAATGATAAACCAACTTGAATTCGAAGATAAAACATTGACAAACGGCTTATTGAGTGCGAATTTGGCAAAACATACTTCAGATTCGGACTCAGGATGTCGAAAAACATAAAATAGGGCTTTTCGGAAAATTTGACTTTTTGGTCAAAGTTAACGGTCAAAGTCAATGGGTTGACTCGGACAGATTGACTCAGACCGAGTTAACTCGGACGAGTTAACTCGGCCCGAGTTGACTCTGTGACTGAACCAGACCAGGCGGGTTGGGTTGGGTCGACCCGGTTCTGGAAAATTCTCTAGACCCAAAACAAGTCCCACGAGCGGGTGTCGGCGCGTGCGGCAGCGACAGAGGTAGGGATGGTCGGCCGAGTACTCCCTGATCAACCATTCAACAATTACAAGAATTTAACCAAAAATCGACCTGAAATCGCGTCAAAATACCAAAATTCAATTGAAACTTACCCAACGCCAGTGACGAAGAAAATGACGACGTTAGTCGGTGAACCTGGTCGGGTTTTGATCACACGAAGCTAGGGATTCTGGTTCTCGAGGAGGTGAGGCGAGCTGACGCTCGAGGTGGCCGGAATCGATGAAAATCGAGGCGATAATGGGGGTTTTCGATGAACATTCTATCGTTCGATCCCGGTGAATGGCGGCTCATCAGGAGATTTCGACGCCTGGGGTTTGGTCGGGGTAGGACATCGGCTCAATGGGACGGTCAGAATACCGCAACGGCGGTCGAAGCGAGGTGAAACGGTCGAGGAGAGCGACAACTAGGGTTGTGGTAGGGAAAATTGTGTTTTAATTTTGGGAATATTTCCCTAATCAGGGAAAGTTATTTTTCAGTTTAACAAAAAATTAGATAATTTCAGTCTGGGTCCCCGAATTTCCTGCAAATTTCTAAAACTGACTATAAGTTTCAAAAACCTATAATTTAACCCATAAATTGGGGTGTGACAGAAATGCTGTTTCTATCAGGCAGCTTTTGTACCAATGTTGGATCGATCTTCTCTCCTTTCCAATCAACACGTTAAATGCGACAGCGAGTCCTTGGTAAAAGTCAACTTTGGGGCCATAGAATCTCACAGCAACAACTCCATTTTTTGAATGTGGATAATGAAGGCTCATCAGTGCATTCACCAACCGGTTGATCAGGCTCCTTGTCCTGATCTTGATTTTTATCATGCCTAATGAGTCTACAATCCAAGCTTCTGCATTTAGGTTTTCGGTTTTTCCTGTGAAGGGTATTGCTCATGCTACCAGTTTCAAAGGATGCATCTATCACTTCTTCAATTTCAGAAAACGATATTGTCTTTTTCTTTGCCTTGGTTCCTTCAGGGTTCTGCACTTCACCACTGGTTTTAGATAAGGGGCCTGAGAATGAAGCTTGAACTGGAAATTCATCCACCTTTTTGGTTTCGGTACTGGAAATTATAGCTGGCTTTTCGAGGATTTGAGTTGGCCATGATACCGGGACCAGATTCACCATCCCCACATTTGTGCCGGTAGATGAATCCTTCAGAACCGAAGCAATGGATTTCTTGACAAAGAAGCAACAGAATCCAAAAGGGTGAGGAAATTAGAAAGTCGGGATTAAAGAGAGAAAGCCCCAAGGTGTCCATGTCGTTGGCTCCCAATGCAGTTGCATCAAGCAACACATGCCACCTATTCTCCCGAGCCAGGCTCATCCATAAATATGAATATATAGACCCTGTAACCCTTGATTGAAGCGGGAAAACGAAAAGTCCTTTCTTCTTGCGCTTGTTTTTACTAACCATCTTCTTTCTCAAAATTTCTGTGTATTTGTAGATTAGGACACGAGAAACTAGCGGACATGACATTGGTTCCTCTCTTTTTCAAGCTCTCGATCATCACCTCCATGGCCTCACTTTGATGGTCGTAAACTGTTTAAAGATTTCGACTGGATCGAAATGGATAAAACTCTGCTATTAGCTTGAAAGCAGCTGATTGATTTGCAGTGAAAACCATGTTGTAATCAGCTTCTGAGATATTCATGAATGCCATGATCCTTTTCCTGATATGGGATTGAAATTCTGACTCTTCACCACCATATTTTAGCTAAGAATTTAAGTTTACAGACATTACAAAACACAGATTCTAAGGGAAGTGAGTGCAATGGAGGCGATGAAGAAGTAACAGGAGACCCTGGACATTGATTTTCAAGCTGATAATAAGAGAAAAGGCAATGGCCAATGTAGTCAAGGAAAACATAGTTGGAGATGGGAAGATGATAGAATTCTAGAGCTCGGATTTTGTCAGCCTGATCCGTTTGGGAATATAGAGGATACACTTTGTTGAAATAAGAAAACGATTCCTCGAACGAAGGAAGTGATTCGTGATTCATGAACTTGAAATGTGGGTACAGAGAAGAAACTATGCTAACCTCGAACTCGTACCATAATGTCGCTGCTGCGGTGCTCAGAATCCCTGAAGTTGCAGCCTCAGATTTGGGAAAGCCCGGAAAACAATTCGGACAACAACCGGGACAGCAGGCTTTTGTGGCCTCTCTTATCCAAGGTGATTGCATGGTCTTCCATTATGAGGATCGGAAAGTTTTTTCACAATGGAAACTCCTATCAGCATTCAGCAAGAAGCCTACTCAATTCATCTTCTTCACTAATTAACAGACTATTGTTCTTTTATTACAACCATTTTCTTGTAGAGCTCAGATATGAAGAAGTGTTATAAGTTCAAACCGACAAAATTGGTGGATTCTTAACGTGAACTAAACTTGTTCCTTACATTTAGCTGATCAAATTGTAAAACTTAAGGAAACGGTTCCTTCTCATAGAAATTTCTTTTATGTACACACATCAAATGACCAAGAAAAGTTCCAAAACGAAACACATAATGTCATTCTTACACTGTTGAACTGAAGAACAAAACACTGAAAGCGTTATAGACAAGCCACAGCTTTCAAATCAGAAAGTGAATTTGACCATTTCCACCTTCTTTGAGAAGGTTCAGATTGAAGTTCAAATAATGTGCTTAAATTATTTTAACTCATCAGAATTCAAATATCCACACTCCATTTTTCCAACATAGAAACCAAAGAGTTCATATATAACAACAACCTCATCAATTATTTCAGGCCCCACGTCTCCTCTAACACTTCCAGTGGCATTGAGGAGTTGTAATGTTTAGGCTACAAATTTACAGGGGGAAAATCGGTCATATTAAGACATTCTTGCCAAGACTCTGATTCAATGATTTTCACTATGGTTTCAATCCCTTGAACACATCTCTGCAGGTGTAGAGGATCCAAGAAATAATTGAAGGTAACAGATGAGTTAATAATCGGATTACGGGTTGGAGCTCCAAATGGGCTGTTGAAACCGGACCCATAGTTTTTCCAAGATGGATCCACCTTGTAAAGCTGTTTGGTCAAGACTATTCATGTATTCAACAGCTTTGGCAATGGCTTCTGTGGTCCTTTGTTTAGGTGGCACCGTAGATAACTGACCAATCTGCATGGAATAATGTTATATGGTGCAAACTTGGTACCGGACATATTCGGAGCCAGTTAAGATGAGTTAAACTACTTTTTTCCACCCGGTAAAAGAGAAAGGATAGGGCATAGGACACTCAATGAAGTCCAGGTTGGCTGATTTTCCAATCCATTCTAATTTGTACATACATTTATATGGACACAAGAATTGTACGGACAAATAAGTACGGAAAGAAAGTAGGGCATGGTTTAATGCACCTTATGGAAAAAACTACTAGCTATAAATATTCATAAATTTATTAAACTAATGCATGTGCACAATTTAATTTAAAAAGTTCAATACATTCGCTCTGTATACATATCCATGTTCTACATTCACCTACTAAACCTGGATAATAAAGATAATGATGATGGAAATTAATTTGAATAGGTAAAATCTGTGAAGGATTATCATTGAATTTTGCGAGGGAGATACTGATTTCTTTTTCTTCTTATTCTTTATGGAGTTGATCAAAATAAAGAATTATAGGTACAGCATGTAGCAACGATAGAGGCAACGCATATCAGTAGTGAAGGAAGTAGAGTGATGTTCAAAAGTTGACTCTGACCAAAGAAGCCAGCTATTGTTATTGTGGCATCTGCAATCACTCGAGCAATAGTCCCGGCTTCCGTCGAGAGCAGTCCTCCATTGTAGGTTCCGCGTGACAGCCTAGACGACATTACGCGAGATAGCAGTGACAAGTTGACACCTACGGAGGTCAAGAAAATTTTGAACAACAAAGGCCCAATCAATAAACCACAGACTCGGCTGTACTCCGGTGTAATATGAACAAAATCTTCAATTCTTAGAAGCGAAAGTCCTATTTACGAAAAATCAAGTTCCCTTTGCAGGTATAAACCAAATTATATAATCTTTACCTTCGAGAACTTCAGCAGAAACAAACATGACGAGCCCTGAGCATACATACTGGGGTACGGAGTATGGTATTATTATATGGAAGCTCAGCAGTATACCTATACAAACTACAATTTCAGATACCAACAAAATTTGCCTGCAACGAACCAACGAAAATGGATGCATTAGATACACAATTCCCAAGCGAAGATCAACAACAATATGAATACCGATTTATGTTAAAAAGGTACAGGCCTTTCAAAATACCTGTCTTCAAACATGTTGCTAATGTAGCTCCCAACAACAATGTTTACAGGAAGAACTGTTAAGCCAAGACATGCAAGAAAGATGGCAACTGTGCCTGTTGACCAGTTGAAGTAGTATGAGGTGATGACACTAGACTCCGAAAGTAGAACTTCCATTGCATACTTGAGCATGAAATATATCAACAATTGAACCTGATGATATCATTAGAACTCGGGTTAGAGAACATCCAAATATATCAACAACTAAGATCATTTTCTTTGGTTAGAGCTATACACAAGTACAAACAAGTTGATGAAGATAAACATCTTGCTTGTCCACTTTTTCCCATTTAAGTATTCTAACGACTTCAATATTGCAAATACCTTCAGATGGACACTCAACTAAGCTATATAACTTTTGAAACTGAAGTCAGTAATTGTTTAACATATACCTTGACTGAGGGTGTAAGTAATCTATAGGCTGAAACCATTGATGTAGCAGGACGACGAGATTCCTCGGGATCTTCTTCACTTCCATCAGCTTCTGGGTCTTCATCATCTTCTTTCTTCTCTTCCGAAGTAATCAGCAATGGTTGTTTAAGACCCTTCTCAAGTTTACTTTTTTCTGCCTTTTCTGTATTTACATGGGAGAACATGCGCGTATCAATATTTTTAATGCATTAATAGGGATGGGTATGGGTCGGTTTCGGTCAACCCGACCCAATTTTTTGAGATAAAATCCGAAAGCCGATCCGACATGACCCGAAATAATAAAAATATTGTTTTTATTCAATAAAAATAGTGATTTAATTGAAAAAATAATATATAGAGAGGTATTATTGTAATTATTCTTAAATATATAAATAAAATTATATTTTTTCGGGTAAGGTCGAGTCGGTATTTTTCATCCTAAACCCAATCCGACCCGACCCAAACTCGAATTTTTAAAAAATACCCGACTCGATCGGGTCGGGTTGAACCGTTCCTGTAACTAAATAAAACAAAGAAGAAAATTAAAAAAGGAAGAGCTCCAAACTATCAAGCCAAACTGAGAAGAAAACATACCACCATTTGTTGCACGAGGAGAATTATTCTCTTCCATATAACGAGCTGGTTCCTTAAATGAGAACCACAACCATATCAGATATACGAGCCAAGCAACAGCCATAACCCATCCTGGCAAAGTGACTGCATTAAATGTTAACTTGTAAATTTTGAAATCTGTCTGAAGTATGCCAGCAAGAGCAGGACCACATGCCATTCCCAAAGCACTGGCACTAACAAATCCAGCAGATGCCTGCATTCGGATTTTTAGTGGTACACAATCACTGATATACCGGCGGTTAACAGCTCTTGCAGAACCGAATCTGTAATGACAAGATTAATTTTATCAAGCTACATGGAAAAGTAAAAATGATACGTACCTCCTAGTCTCTCAAATTAATAATATTCATAGGTGAGTTCAATTTGGGTCCTAAAGCCATATTTAATCTCTGATCCTATTCCTACTTATATTTCCAATAAGACTCAGGTTTGCCAAACATATGATAAAAATAACAACTATTCCAATAAGATAGAATTTGGAATAGTTAGATTAGAGTCTTTATACACTAAGAACTCCTGTGTACCAAAAAAAATACACTAAGAACTCCTACCATACTGTAATCTATATTGAAACTGCGAGCACCCCAAAAAACCCCAATGACCATGCCACCTCAATCACTATAGGTACTGTGAACTCCGATGAGAAGAAAAGAAGATAAATAGGACAAAGACGTACCCACAAAAAAGTCGACCTAGTAGAAGAACTGTTAATGAGTTCAGATCATAAGCCAACGCATACAGGGCATTTCCCATAAAAAGGACTATACTGCTAAATATGAGAGGTCTGAAGTACGATCTGTTAGACCACGCACTAAAGTACACTGAAGAAAACACCTGTGCAACAGCCATTGCCCCAATAACAATACCACAAACTGTTGCAGCAGCTCCAAGGCTTATGGAGTAGTTATCTGCTGTAGGGACAATAATATATGTATTGACCATATAAAGGAACGTGTTTGCTAAGTTCAGGAGGAGTGACATAAAATGGTATTTCTCTTCGTCAATGCGTTGGTCCACGGGAGCAGGTAGCTCTTCTTGCATAATCAGAGCATGTTGTGCCATAAAGTTTAGGAAGTTTGTTGAGTGAGTTAACCTATCAACAGCCGCTTTCATTGAATCAACCACAGGATCCTGCAGATGATCCGAGTAAGTAAAATTGCATAGCCATATCTTTATTACCATATAACAATTTTGCTGAGAAAATAAAATGAAAAATTTATAAAAAGTATATATAACAGAAACCTGGAGAGGAAGGGAGGGCGAATCATAAATTGATAAGTAGCTTCCCTGACGGTCTTGAAGTTCATGAAGATTACGAGATACTGCCCCAACAACAGCACCTAATCCCTGCAAATTATACATTTAGAAAATGATCTTATGGATACAGTTTAAACCACTTCTACATGCCAACCTGTTATATTTTCACAATCTCATCTAGAAAAGAGCTGGATGTTAAAGATAGAAATAGGATTGATTGAAAGAAAGGCAAAGTTTGCTGAGTGTGGCGCATTACCACATGTTTGAACACTTGCTGCAGCTGAGAGTAAGGATGATTAGCGCGTGTTTTAACATAGTAATCAGTGAATCTATAGCGAAAGCGTTTATCAAACTTTTTCAATATCTTTCGCAGACCAATGGCATTCATTTCAACAAAATAGAGAAGCTTCAAAAGATTGTGTCCCACTCCTCTGTAAGCTTCTCTTAGTTCAGTTATTTTGGATATTTGTGGATGCTCCTCAAGAGCGTCATTCTGTTCTCTAAGCTTTGTTAACTTGCTTGCGTATAGACCTTGTTGCTCCAATAGAAAAAGGACAATCTTCTCAATCTGAAATTTTAGTTACAACAAAGCAAGAAATACATCAGATTCAGCCTTGTAAAAGACATTTTTCATAAAGCACATAAGGTTATGGAAACTAACATTACTTCTATGATTGTTAAAAGAGGCTTTAAGATGTGATACAACAAACAGGCAGAACAAGACAGAAAAAGGTAAAGGATAAATTACAGAATTTCCCATTAATAAACTGATATCCTACCCTCTATATTTAACATACTATTTTCTCCTTAACAATCCATAAATATTAAAAAAAATGGGAAAAGGGATGACACTAAAGAAAATCTAAATGTAGTAAAAGGAGAGTATATATATTGCAAAAGGAACAAAGCATAATATCAGTATGTTCATAAAAGAGTCCCTTCTATTCAAGCTTTTGGTCTCAGTTTTCCAAGAATAACCACATGCAGATACTAGGTTCAGTTTTAGACATACTTGATTATCCAACATTCTTGAAAAATCTTTGAGAACTTGTGGACGATCTAGTGTCCCGACTTCAATTTGATGAGCGTACAGTTTGACTTTCTTCTTCATTAACTTGTAGTTTATGTAATATCTGCAAGAGAAATGAAATACGAACACATCACATGATCTTTGCCTCGCTGCTAATACCATTCAAGTTTGTTAACATGCACAACAAACTGTCTCTCTCCTCCTGTCTCACACACATATCTATGGATTGTTCTGTATTAGGAAAGATAATTTTTGAGATTATTCTTGACTAAAGACAATAAAAAAGTTGCTAAATTATATACAAAGAAACATGTAAACTCTTCATCACATAAGATAGATAGTAGCAACTAGCAAATCAAGCACCATATAATATTAAAGAAGGCGATGATAGTTAGATTAAACTGCAACTAGCAGCATGTTGCACAAGCAAAAAGCATAGTATTGGTGCAGTAGAAAAGTATATAACAAATGATAAATGGAAAATGGTTTAAGAGCAATGCACACAAAATGAGAATATATCAAACATACTCTTGCCATTCCTGAATTTGTCTTTCCTTCAAACTCTTCCCAAAGGCAACCATATCTCACTGCAAATAAATGAAATAAATATTAAAAGAATGCTGCAAGAAAAATTATAAAAATATGCAACCTTTGCATTAAAAAGTAGAGAGCAAGAGAAAAAGGTTTGAAACCAGACACTAGACAGATAAAAATTGCGTTTACGTATCATAGAACAGAATATAATTGAACTATCAATGCATCAAACTCGAGTGGAAAAGTCACGCTAATCGAATTGGCCAGTGAAATCATGTGTTTCTGGTTCTTACTTATTGCTGAATTAATTACCTGAAGGAAACTTTATAATCACTTAGTTAAAACACGAGTTTTCTAGTTGGAACAGCTATGTATAAATGCAACAATTAACAAAAGAACTCTTCCATTGATATTCTGTAATTAGAATAAAAAATGAAATCAAATGCGACGTTGAAATGATTCAGTGAAATTATAACGATTGCGAATTCTAGAGATTCATAATGATTCCTGTTTTATAACTGAGAATCCTCAAAAAAAAAAAAAGGAAAACTTATATAAACTCGAAATCGCATTGTAACGAAATGCAGGGATGCGAAACTGAAAGAAATGGAAGAATAAATCCAGCTTTGTCTTCAGTTGTTTCTTCATCTTTGTTGTTATCTTAGCAAACAAACAGAGGTAGGAGCAAACAAAAAGAAGAAGAAATAATAAACAATAAGAAAGAAAAAGCATTACCTGATAAAATAAATCAGAACCACTCTACCACGAACGAAAAAAACTATAAAAATAAATAAAACGGAAGAGGAAAAGCGCATTTCAAGAAAAAGAGAAAGTGTGGATCAAATTCAATATATGAAAGAATGTAATAGAAATATAGGTAGATCAACAGAGGTGACGAGGAGAGGCCTATAACAAATAGAGAGATATTTTCCTTTTTTAAATTTCGAAAACCCGATGTTTTATTTATCAAATAATGTGGATTTTGACGGTTTAATTTTAGTAATTAAAAGAAAAAAAATTAATGTGATTTAAAAGAAAAGGCCGAACATAATGTAGTTTTGTACTGTGTTCTCTGTATTTTTAGTGAATTTTTGCTAACCTGCTTTCGTTCCTTTTATAGAGCCAAAATTGAAGAAATGTTATATAGAGAAGTATAATGGTAAAAAATGTTATATATAATGTTAATATTTCTTTATTTTAATAAAATGGGTGATTATTATTAATTTTAAAAATAGATTTATATGTACTTCATTTCGAATGTCATTTTTATATAAATAGATTCATATATACATCACTTTAAATGTCAAATTCAAGGTAGAATTGTCCTTTTCTCAAATCTTTACAATATGAGATGATAATGGTGACAAGTTTCCAGTTCTCCTTTCTCATCTTTCCACTTGTCTTTTCTTCTTAACCTCTCCCCTTTCTCATTTGTTAAATTCTTTTAGTAGTATTTTTAAAATTTTGATTATAATTATTTCAAGTAATTAAATTTTATAAAATACATTTAACAAGTACTTGGCTTTACAGTCGAGATGGCACGGTAATAGTTAGTGATCCGATTGCCAATTTTGATTTGCTGTCAATTGAGAACATATACAACAAATGTTCATAATGTTTACTTTTTCATTTCGTCCTTTTATGGTTGGTCCATTTGTACATACCATAACGAACATGGATATTAATGTCATGTGCCAATTATTCATTTGACCAACCTAACCATTCCAACAACTTTATCTCTCCTCCATATCTTAATTTAATATTTTTAATTGTTTTCTTTTTCCAAAAAACAAATGCTCGTTCCAATTGTCAATTCTATTATTTACTTGGTATAATTTGATACAGCGAACTTAGTTTTACCAAGTTATATGAGATTGTACAGTGAAAATACTATTCTCTAGATTATATTCTAGTCCCTTTGTTAAAAATAACAAATCTGATTAATGTGTATGCATATATATAATTCACAAAACACAAAAATGTTAGATCGATAAAAGAAAATATAATCAATTGCAAGTAGAAATATGGGAACCTATCGCTTCCAATCAAGAAAATGGTTGAGTTTTTATGTGGTCGACTTCGTGACCCATCTCGCCTTGTGCAAATTAAAAGCTTGCAATTTGTAGGTGGTGGCACTCCGGTCTGTGGCTGGCCAGACAAGATAATTAATATTTGAATCCTTTAATTTCCTTTAAAAAATTAATATAATTTTTGAATTGTTTTTCATTCAATTAAATATCGCTCTCAATTTTAAAAAAATAATATAATTCTTTAACCAACAGTTTATGTTATTTACTATTATAATGATGACATAACAATTCATGTTATTAATGTAGCGGTCATAATATTAACATGACAATCTATCATTCAAATATCCAAATCACTATGAAAATTTTGAAATATTTTTATAACAAAAAACTAAATAAACTTTAAAATTTAATGCAAATAATTTTAATAAACTTTAACATTTTCGACAAATATCCAAATCACTTTCACGTGCTTAATTAAAACTATTTTTATTTAATTTAATTACACTATTTTATTTATAAACCGATAAATTGTTTTCCAAATTTAACCAATAATTATACCCAAAAAAATTGATGAGACGACTACCATGACTTCTGTATATTTATTGTTATGAAATACTGACTTATGTACAGAAATATTCTATCATAAAATTTATTCATTAAAGTTAGATGTGCGGTATGGATTAATTTAAATTAATTAAAATAAAATCTTAGAACCGAGAGGAGAATAAAAAAAACAAAAAAAACTGATTTGTCTAGAGATTTTTCCCTTTACTTGTCGAAAGTGTCATTAATTCAGACTTTAATTTAATGTTTATTTACTGAACGTTTTAACTGAATCCGCATGGCTACGCTTACCCACTGTCGTTACAAGTTAACCAATCATGTGCTATTTTTATTATAGTAAGTTTATTTAAAACAATATATTCTAAATTTCACATAAATGTAAATATAGTAGATCTAAATTTTTTATATTTCAATTAGGATGCTTTTATCTAATAAAAGTTTACAAACAAAAAGTAGTAATTTACCTTGGTAATTATGTTAGAAGTGAACAAAACTCGATTTGAAAATTTTAAATTTTTTATTTGACTCATTGTTAAAAAATTAGATTTGACTTGACTCAATTAATAATTTTATAAACTTAATTCAACTCGAAAAAATTCAAATAAAGTTTGAATTATAAAATAGAACTTAAATAGTTTAAATTTTTAATAATTAATAAATTAATTTTTAAATCTGAGTCAAATTACTCGAAAACTCAAAAAAATTTACTCGACTCGTTCAATTTTCACCTTCAATTCTCTCCCCCCATTAGCTCTAAGAGTTGGACTGTTGTGTACCAAATCTGTTGTTGGTCATTGTTGGGCTATAAAGAAAACCTGTTGGCGGTACTAGCCCAAGCAGAAAAAAATCAGAGGGCCTACATCTCTTTAGTTTTACTTTTCTAAATTCCCAATTTCTCTTTTGTTCTACTCCCTAAGAATGGGAGGTGGGATGCACGTGGTTGGGATTTTGGAAGAAAAGAAAGGTACGATTATAATTTTAGTCCATTAGCTATGTCGAAATTTGAGATCTAATCTATTTACTTTAATTTGGTATAATTTAAACATTTAATTTTATGAAGTTATTAGTCATTATGGACACTAACTAACCCTAACATGTCAATCCATCAAATGCAGCCCATTTAAACCTTTATAAATAGTTTAAAAGTGTCAATTATATTTTCTAACCTAATTCCCAAACAAATCGATTAAAAAATATTAAATGAAGACCCAAAGTGTACAGATCAAACCTAACCAACGTTGGTCCACAAAATGAACTCCATTTAAGCTTTTATATATAGTTTTAGAGAATTATACAATAAAGTGCCAATTCTCTTCTCTAACCTAATTCTCAAACTACTCAAATAAAAACACTAACAACTAACATCGCTTATCATAAAATATAGTCGTCATGTATTGTTAGAATTGGAGTGCTATTTAAAAGGTTAAGATCGTGATTAATTATTTTTAAGTTTGACATTGATAAAATTTTATATTCACTTATTGAAGATTATTTAAAAAAAATAAATTTACCAGGGATCTTTAAGAGAAATCTAAACTTGGATTATACTATATATATATATATTCTAAAGAATTTTTTAATTTTTTAATTTTTCTAGAAGTATGGCCACAGTCTCACCAATCCCTTTACAGTTGTCATTGAACTTTGACAATGTTATGAACTTGTAATCGGATACAGACAGTTTTAGTGAACCAGAGTCATAATTAAACCCATGAATCTTAATTTACATTGCTGAAAAAGATGTATCATGTAACCCACATTATTAAAAAGTCAAAGCAATTAAATTTTAATGTACAGAATAGAATCCGATTATGACAAAAAATAAAAAATGAGTGAAATTAAAGGGAAAAGAGATCAATTAACAAGTCATCCAGCAGCGAAGTGAAAAGCTCAAGTTGTAGAGCTGATCCAACCTCTTCCTTTTCTACATTAAACTTAATCCAATTTACATTCTCCTCCATTTCTTTAACATAAGCTTCTTTCCATTCTTGCGGATTCTCATTCTTCAATATGTTGACCCCAAACTCTTCCATCAGCAGTCTCTCCCTTACAAACAAATCTGGGATTTTGGGTTTCGATAGCTCAACTAGTTTCTGATGGTTTGATTCAGGTTTATCTTCTTCATCTTCATCTTCAAGCTCTGCCTCTGCCGTTGCTATCCGTTTTTCCAATTCCAGTGGCTCCAGCTGAGCCAGCCTCTCAAACCTTGTGATCTTTTGCATGAGCCTTTCTTTGGTTCCTGTTGGTCAAACCACAAATGTTAATCGCGGTTGTTAACTACTGGAGCTTGGTATTTAAGAAAGAGACGGACCTTCCACTCGGGCCAACTGATCTTCGAAAACAGAGCCGTCTTCTTCTTCTTCTCTATCGAGAGGCAATCTAGAACCGATACCGGACTCAACTGTTGCTTTGTTTCGTTGTTTGTCCAATCCTGTTCCAATTCATTCGATTATCATTTTTATTTTCTAACTATTTCAACAAAAAAAAACTAATCATTACAATTAAAAACGAAGATATTCTATTACGTTATAAGATAAACTTATAAAATTTTAAGATAAAAAATAAACAATTAATAAAAAATTTAAAAAAATTATTTAAAATATAATAACTTAAATTTTTAGAAAGACAATTAACCTCTAATCACCTTTAGATTATCTCTGATTACTATTCGAATTATCCTTTCTAACCTACTCCCAAGCTACTCACCTAAAAGCGCCAATGACCAACATTTTTAATCAAAACAATTATTATTCTTAGCGGCCCATATATAATTACAATATATAAAATTCAGAAAGCATAAGTAAACTTAAACTTATATAATAATTAATGTCAAACAAATCGATTAAAATAATTAAATGAAGACCCAAAGTGTACAGATTAAACCTAACCAACATCAGTCCACGTAATGGAATCCATTCAAGCTTATATATATATATATATATATATATATATATATAGTTTTATAGTAATGTATAATAAAGTGCCAATTCTCCTGTCTAACCTAATTCCCAAACTACTCAACTAACTCCTTTAATTTTTTTTAAAGATTCTAAACAAGGAAATTTGATGGTCTGCAGAGTTCTCTCCACTTTGGATCCCGGAAGATCACAAACAAAAACCTTGATCCGGGATGTACCTAATCCACCAAATCACTGTGTTACGACAATTATTGATATTTTTGAAATGTCAAAATTGTGATCACATGTAGATGATTTTAATAAAATTGTGAACAATTGTAGACGATTTTGGTGTCTCTTGATAGTAAAAATGAAAAGGTAAGGATTAAAATTGTGATTTAACCCATAATTCTTAATTGATATTGTACAAAAAAAAGTATTTCACACGATACTTGCATAGACATATAATAAAACAGGTAAAAACATATATAATGCAATATACATTACATATGAGGGTCATGACTCTAATTAATAAGAATATTATATTTTATATATTTTTAAAAATCAATATTCAAACAATGTGAGAATATTATAAAAAATAGTATATCCCACGTTGTTTAAATATTAATATTTTTAAATATTTAAACATATTTAAACTTTTTTTAAATGATTTGAGTCAATATCCTTACGTGTGCTTCCCATGTACAGTGTGTATTTTTTTTTATCACTGATAAATAATCACAAATTTAGCATTTCAAAAGAAAAACTATTAATTATCACAAGACACGATAATTTTATCCAAATTCAATATCAGATAACGATCATAATATTACTTTCAATATAATTTTTAACCTATTTACTTAAATAATTCTTTTACATCCCTATTTTCTTATTTTATTTTTTCGTTATTTGCCTAAATAAGCTCTTCGCCGATCCCACGCTCAACAAACTTCATAATCCCCTCACCAAATTTTATAATTTATCCCCTCTAAATACGGATAATAAGGCGACAGCCAATCAGAAAAGCCATCAACAGACAAACGGACAAAAAATTAATATTGGGAAACAAATATTGAATGAATCACCTTAGTGCAGTTGATGGAATCCTCACCACCTGTTACGCCTACCATATTGCTGACATTTTTCTTCTCCCGTAAATTTATTTTACTCGAAACAGTGTCGTCACCACCCAAGCTCTCGGAGTTACTGCTCGGAGACCGTAAAACTTTCGCTGTAAATTCACTTTCTTCCATCTGTTACTGCTTCTGCTCGTGGAGACCTTACTGGTAGTGACAACAGTGGAGGAGGTGTCGGTGGTGGTGTAACTGTTAATATTAATCTCAAGAGACTGTTGGTTTTTCTCTTCAAGAAATTTACGAAACAATTTCCAGCGTTTGATCTCACCACGGCCATGATTATCTTCCTTGTCAGCTTTTCTCCAGGATCTTCTTTTGAAGAGCTTCCTTGCAAAGCTCCTGGGTAAATCGGCTTTCCCTTTCCTCCTTCTACTGCTTTGCGTCGACGACGATGACTTGATGGATGGAAAAGGCAGTATCTTGACGGCGTTAAGTACAGCCTCCGAAGCTCTTTGCAGAGCAGAAATGGTGGTGGAAGTTGAACTTGCCTTCGATCGACTTCTTTTTAAAAGCCGTTTAGTAGAAGTTGAGTAATTACCATTAGATCTCTTCAAGTCGGTCTCGAGAAGAAACCGAACGGTGGTGCAACAGTGGCGGCGTGGAAACGATTTGAAACCACTAGAAGAGCAAGAACTCAGATCGTCTCTAAGGTAATCTTTGAGCATCAAGGGCTTTCTATCAATTGAAAGCGTTTTCCTAACCTGGATACGACCAGTGGGAATATTGATCAAAGTCATTTTTTACCAAGAAGCTCAGAAAACAAAACTGGGTCAAAAGAATTCAGGGAGTTAATGAAAGAAGAGTGTGTAGACTGTGGAGTTAGTTGTTACAGCTGTGGTAATGATAATGGTGAGTATGGAAACCTGAAGGAGATAAGAGAGCATTTAAAATAAGACTCTGAATCATCAGTAGATAAATGTTTTAGCTGAAAGAGTAGCAGCTTTTTGCACAACAAGGAAACACATGAAGAAGAGAAAAATAAAACCGAGGTTTATAGGGGAAAGAAAGTGTTAAGGTAGTGATGAAGATTTCCAGGAGTTAGGGAAGCTTGGATGCTTCTTCTTCTTCTTATAATTATTGTTGATATTTGGTTTTTGAATCTTAGCTCTGAATATTTTAGTGGGTGAATTGAATGCATGTAAAAGTTTCTGGATAAATTACACTATAAGTCACTAACTTATGCTCAAATGAACATTTGGATTAACAAATTTTCAAAGGTAATAAAATAATAATTAAATTTATCGAACCATTTCAAAATGATCAATGTTATGTTATAATAAATGTAAAATTTTGATCAATTTAATTATTATTTTATAATAGTTTGACAAAATTTAATGATTACTTTATAAAAGTTTGATAAATTTAATGATGGTTTAATAACTTTTGAAAGTTTTGTAACCAAACCTATATTTGAGAATAGATGACCTCTAATGTATTTTACCCAACCTTTTTATTTATAATTACTATACAGTAAATGATGGAGATAGATAGATTATAGAGGGAAGAGATGGTGTGAGAGACCAGTGGTTGACCTTAGACAAATCTGGGACTCCATGCAAGCAGGGGAGAGCGATAAGGGAGAACCCTGCCCAGGCCTTCCATCACGCGCTTAGCCACGTTTGCCTGTCGCTTTACAATTTCATTGCAAACGAATCTTATAATAATAATAGTATTAAACATTTTTGGTCAAAAGAAATTGTAGGATTAACTATTAAGCATGTAATTGGATTCTCTTTCTTTAATTACAAATTAGTTGCCGTCAAGATTGAGTTTGAAAAAATATATGAAAAAGTTTGAAAATCAAGATAATAAACTAAATATTAACATCTCATAATATAGTAGCAGTAATAATAACACTATACCATTTTCAAAATGATAATAATAATAATAATAGTATCGATACTCTACAAGAATGTAAAATAATTCAATAACAAACACGTTAATGCTAATCTATAACACATTATGTTGCAATAAGTCTACAATTAGTGTCTTTGATGCTGATTATTGGTTTGATTAGAAGCTTAACTAGCAGAAGAGGTAGGTATGGTTGGTGTAATTATTTGTGTCTGGGGCGCATGCCAGAATCAATTAATTTCATGCCCTGATCCAGGCTTTTTCAGTGTTCAAACAGTGAGTGATGAATCCCAACTTGCAAACTAAAGAGGAAACAATTTAAAAGTAGCTAAGGCTACAGATTTTGAAGTCACCAAAAAGAAAGCTTACAGAAATGTAGAAAAAGGTTTAATTCAACAAAGAATGTACCCCTGCGGTGTCATTGGGTCTCGGACCACGCCCTGATTCGAGCCTTGCACCCACTACCAACATATGAGTCTCCCCTGCGAACTGCAAAAAGGACCAGAGTCCAAAAACACAATTTCTCTTATTTTATTTAACTCGGGGCATTATCTGAAAGAGTTACTGGCCTTGCTACTGATGAGTAAAGCCTTTAATTTATCATTTCCACCACCTCACACTAATACTATAAAAAAATTAATGTACGTTTATGAATATTGGTGTGGGATGTGGAATTTAACATGGTCAACGTCCGACCACCATTTCCTTTTCAGGTTTGCGCGTTGCTGGCTTCATTTCATTATCTAATGCACCTGGACTGTCTTATGTGGTTAACTGCCTTTGATTTATGTACAGATTTTCTTCAATCTTATTTAGTTACAGTTAACAAATAACGGAATCAACATGGGTCTAAGTGGTAAAATGGAAAATTATTTTCCTTACAAGTTTTGAGTTGGAGCAATTATTTTATAGGATGACATGCATTATTAGTAACGGAAGAAAATTCTAAATACATATTACCTTATAATCATTATAAATTAAAAAAATAATTAACAAAAGGCGAGGACATATAAGATTTTGAAATGACGTTTAAAAAAAACACAATGGGCCTATCGTCGCACTCTGTTATATGAAAGGAGAATGTCAATTGGGCCTCATCTTTGTCAGGCATGGACCTGAAGGGGATTGCATGTACTAAATGCAGACACGTGGCTTCCCATACATTTGCTCGGTGCCCACTTCCTTGATATAGCAGCCGACATGTTAATTAACTTGCGGCCCTTTACTATTTCAATAATACCAGTCACCGTCACCATGAAAAAATAACATCAAAAATTGATGTTGGGGGCTTATGTTTTTGTGGGCGGCAAAATTAATGCAAGAAACCTAAACAGTTTGAGTTATTGTTTCCAAGCTTATGTACTTTAAGTACGCGTTAACGTACAATTATCTTGGAAACAAGTCCATATTTAGATATAGTGTTATTGTTCATTGCCGGAAACGACATGCTACTAATGGGTCATTTGTAGCGTTAAGGTAGAGTTGAGATTGTGTCCGAAAAGTGCTGGAAGCTGACTTTTGGAGTATCCTTGAAGATTTCAAAATCACGTGACAATATAGTTTTGAACAAGTTATTATTTAGACCGACAGTTGCGAGGCTGTTTCATCTACTCTTCCCTCCGTCTATGGATAGTCCTTTTGCACTAATGAGAGCAGTCGCAAATCTGTACAGCAAAACATGGTTCATAGGTTTCAAGAATATCTATCGAGAAGCAAACGTAGCGACTGATTTCATCACTATGATAGACACTCTATCAAATAATTCTCCTGTTATTTTTTACTTAATCCAATTATTAGATATTCTTCATTGAGATATTTACGATCCTATTTATAATCATATAAAGAATTGATAAAATGAATTTACCTTGATTTCTATCAAAAAAATAAAAAGGAAAAAAGAGATTGTACTGAAACAAAGTTAATCTTTATGAATCAATAATTTTCTTGTAAAAGAACATGTTGACTTTTACTCATTTAATTGATTTTAATTAGGGATTTATTTAATTACCACTAGAAAAAAATCATTTTTTGAATTAATTTATATTCTTATTTTATTTACTTTTATACATAAGAATGAGAAATGGTTACCTCTCTTCCTTTATTTCTGCTTAGTTTTTTTTAATAGAGGGAAGACAAAGCCTTTACATCATATTGTATGGTTCCTCAAATAAGGAGGACCAAGAAGATCTCTAGCAAGAGTCGTGGTAAGAGAAGGGTAAGCTTCAACAAAAGTTTGGACCTGACCGTCAGGTGTGAAAGGAAGTTTAACAAGGGAGTCTGCTGCAAAATTTGTCTCACGACATATATGGATGAAGTTAACTTGCCAAGGTAGCTGGCAGAGGCGAGTGATAGCCTGAGTGAGAGAGAGAGAACTGGCGGTGGAAGCAGAGGAGGTAACTGAATCAAAAGCGCCTGTGCTATCAATTTGAACCTTGATACAATTGATTTCAAGGACCAAACAAGCTTAAGACATTCATAAATTCCCTAAAGCTAAGTTTCAAGAATAGAAGAAGGTCTCAGATATTTGTTGAAACCAATGATCCAAGTTCCATCATGGTTGCGAGTGAGCCCGCCAGTTGAGCCAAGAGAAGTGTTGGGGTCGAAAACTCCATCAGTGTTGAGAAAAGTTTTTTTTCTTATAAAACATGTTCAAATTTCTTTTTTTCACTCTCATTGGGCAATTTCATTGTTTTTTCAATCAACCAAGTAAAGTCTTAGATTATTATAAAATAATTTTAAAAATTTCATATTATATATTCTTTGAAATGATTAATCTATTTATATTGTTGGGAATCACGGTCTTTCCCGCTTCGTGAAGTTAAGATAGACACTTAGAGATTAAGATAGTAAAGAGAGCACAAGAGTATAATTATCTAATTTGGAGATTCTTCCACTATACAAAAGAATAGTAAGATTACAAGGATGTGTTTACAAAATTTGACTCAAACTTGGTGGCTCACTCAAGCTTGAGGATAAAGACTTCCCAAGCCATCTATCTTATCTCTCAAAGAGGCTCTCCAACTCTCTAGTTTCTCACTCTAAGAAGTGGACTCTCTTAGTATTTTTTGGATTTTTGGATAGTTCGGAATGAAGTCTCTCATCCCTATTTATACTACTCCACCTCCACAATGAATGGTGGAGATTACTTACATCCAAGGGTGGAGATTAATTATCTAGAATACTCTACACACTCTAAGAAGCTCTACACTCTTCCACTCCCTTCCGTATTCTTCCATACTCTTCCATAAGGTTCCACACATCTCCAGAGGATTCCACACTCTTCCAAAAGCTTTTAGAGAGTTCTACACTTCTTTAGAGTTCTCCAGAATGTTCTAGAAAATTCTACACTTCTTCAGAAAGCTCTAGAATTTTCTATAACATCTCCAATTAAGGAGAGATCCAACATATCTCCCCCTCTCGACTTAATTGAGAGGTAGTAGAAAGCCGACACCTTAACAACAATCTTCAAACTTCTTTATCGGTATTACCTTGGTCATCATGTCTGACTAGTTATAATATGTGTGAACCTTGTCAAGATGTATTTGCTTTTTTTTTTTCGAGAACTTCTCAGATCCAATGATATTTAATGTCTATGTGCTTTGTGCGGGAATGAAATGTTGAATTCTTTGCTAGATAAATTGCACTTTAATTGTCGCACTTTAAGACATATCTTTCTTGATCTATTCCCAGCTCCAACAACATATTCTTTATCCACAACATCTTTTTACAAGCTTCAGTAGATGCGATGTACTTTGCCTTAGTAGTGGACAATGCAACACACTTTTGCAGCTTTGATTGCCATAAGACAACCCCCTGCAAAAGTAGTTAGGTATCCCGATGTTGATTTTCTTTAATCAATATCACTGGCCAAGTCTGCATCTGTGTATCTGTAACACCCCCAACCCGTATCCCAACCCGGATACGAGTCAGAGATATTACATTGACTTTTAAAACATAACTCATTACAAATAATAGTAAAATACAATAATAGACATATGGTAATATAAGTTTACCAAAATATTCAGAGCATACACAACTTAACTCTTTAATTACATGCCAACATCTATTTTCATAACAAAATGACCTACTGATTAAGTTGCTTCTGATATGATAGTTGCAGGAGTAATGTTGTCCAGTTGCTTAACCTCGATCGTCTACTTTATCGGA